TGCCACACGCTGGTGCTTCTAGAGCTGTCAGAACCTTAAAGTTTGAACCATTGTGCCAAAAAAAGTCAATGGAGTGTTACTCATATAGCACTTTTTAAACTTAACACACACTCACACTCCAGTGGATGCAGCAGGGGCAACTCAGGGTTTCCAAAACATACTTTGATGTAGTTTGATCCCTGCCTAGATGAACCAGACATCAAACTACCAACCAATTAGTAGACAACCCACTCTACCTCCTGAGTCACAGCCTCTCAGATGGTGAGTTGAGAATAAAAAAGAAACCTTATTTCCCGTGAATGGTGGGTCTCAAACAGCACATTTTTTGAAAATTTGCACAACGTCCCAGGCCCCCACCTTAAGCTGAGGGCTGGGATAACTGGGCCACCCAACTCTGACCAGAGCGTTTTAACTTGTTTTGTTTTTTTAATGTATATTTCACGACATTCAACAACGTGAAATAAGTGAGGAAGCTTGCTGAGCAACTCTTTAGAATATAGATTTAGTGGAAATGTCAATACTAACAAGAGAAGACAGTTCGTATTGACATTTGATGATGTTTCATGACAGCACAGAGAAACCCCTCGTTTGCCGCCTAAAAAAACCATGCCTAAGTACATGGACGCCCTCTTTATTCATGAATTAAATTGACATAAATCAACATACAATTACTTTGATTCACTGTTGTCTGTGTTTTGGTTGTTTTAATCAAAGCTGATCGCCGAGACTGCAAAGAAGAGGCACAGTTTTGTGAGAATCTTTTCATTTGCCTGGTGTGTCCTGATTTCAAGGTTACCTGGTTCAAAAGGAAGAAACGTTACCTCAGGCTGTTTGAGCACGTCTCACTGAATGAAAGCTACCTAGAAAAGCTTTTACATACTTAAATGAAAAAAAGGTCTGTCTGTCTGGAATTTTGTTTTTCATATCATATTACTGTTGTTTTCTCTTCACAAAGACTCAAGTGCTACTTAGTAATTCTACCTGTCACGCCTCACATTAATTTGTGTTACATTCTAGTCTCAGAGCTAAGCATCAGCTTTTCATAAAAATAATTAGCTTCCTTGTGAAAATAAAAAAACAGAAGGACATTTAACAAAACTTACAGCTGTTTTGAAGTTATTTCAAAAAGCTTAAGAGTCTCTATTGCTTTACAAAACAGTTTTCAAATCAATTTCTTATGCTTTGACTGTATTTCTTAATCCAGTTGGCCGGAAGTGGCATATATCTCTTATGTTTGTATTTAAATTTTTATACATCTCTGTCTATTTTCAGCATGAAAATATCTTTAAAAGACGAATTTGCTTTGAAATTAAGAGCCGATTTAAGAGGCAGGTTAAAAAGCTTTCTTATCAAGCAGTAGAAGAGTTATTTTTTCATTCTGTGAGTTAGAAAAGTACTTGGAGAATTTGAAAAGAGAAAAAAAAACAAAGCAGCAATTCTTAAATGACCTTTAAAACATGAGCTGTTTTGAAATCGCTTCCTGTGTATATCTCTGTGAAATCTGGAAGCTTAGTTCAGGAAGTGTATATACATGACAGGCAGAGCTTAATACAGGGCTGGCAAGCAGACAATGCAAGTCTGCATGTGTGTGTTTGGATGTATGCATTCCACTGTTCTTGTGGAAAATAGAGAAAGAGTGGGTGCATGTGTTATTTCTGCCGAGTTTCACACACCGAGTGGACAAACAATCTATTCCAATTAAAGCGAGCTGCAGCCCTGGAGAGTGCAGAAGAAGCTATGCTCCATCGCATCACATCATCCTTTGAAAAACCCTAGAATAGCCGATTGTGATTCGGAGGAAACAGGCCCCTTCAAGAACAACTAGTGTGGGCTGGCTGTGGGGGTGGGGACGACTGGTTCCAAGTTAGTCTAGAAAGTTCCACAGCAAATAACATTATGGTGGAAGTACTGGAGCAGTGGGAGCTGCTGGGAAGAGGGCAAGGCTATTAATCCTGCTTGTAGCGCTGGTTTACCGCTCTTACTGCATGTGGGGCGAGGAGGCAAATTAATAGTGTGGCGGAGATTAATTAGGTGACGTTAAGGGAAATTTGTGACTGTAAAACTTTAGAGGTCTGTACAGCTGACTAGACTAATGGGGCGTTCATGAACTCTTAATAGATGCTACTCCGATGTCGAGTATGAGCAAAGCAGAAGGAGAGGCAGCGGGAAAAAAAATATGTGTCTTTGCACAAAGCATTGTCACCAGAAAGAACTCAGAAAGCTTCAGAAAGCTATTGAGTGCCTAGAGGAGCAGAGTTTATAACCTTCCACTGTGACAAACTCAGAGGGAATTATCACCAGTGCTCCAGAAACACTCAATTATTCCTGTGAATATTTTTAGGGCTTAATGACCATTAAAATGTGAGTATTTTCCTGATTCTTCAAGTGCGGAAAGCGGAATATTCCACTCCCCCTTTAGGTGAAAGCGGAATATTCCACTTGTGTCCATGAAATCTGATCAACTCCCTGATGAAGGCTTGTATGTAAAACAGGTTTTCGGTTGCTGGACAAACAAAAGCAGACCATGAGAAAAAAGAGGGACCTTTTTTAAAAACAAGACAAAACACATATTTGAATCCCGTTTTGCTCTTCAGTTTCTTTAGCTGAGTGACTGCTGTTTGAATGTCCACTCAACACATAAGTTAACGGCTGACAAAAAAGTGTCCTTCATCAATATCAGCTGGACGTCTTCTCTGGACTTTTATCTTTTATTCTCTGACTGCTTAAAAACAATCCGGCATGCAGGAAGAGGAAGATAAAGAAAAGGTGGACCGTGAGATGAGATTGTGATCATGACCTCTCATTTTCTGCATGACATCCTTCTGTACTTTGAGAAATATACACCAGAGGCTTATACTGGTGACATCAGAAAGGTTGTGAGAGTATACAGACCTGAACAAATAACACATTATGAAACAGGGATATAGATAAATGTCATCAAAATGATTTTATATTCAATACATGGGCGTCCATGTGTATTTTGTGTATGTGAAGTGGATGTTGTGTGTCTGTTTGATGACAACCACTTCATAACCAATTCAGCTGTAAATCACATGTTGTATTAAGAAAACCACACACAGGCCTTTTGCTTTTGAAGAGAGGGTCTGACTCAACCGCTATTAGACGTGAATTAACCCGCCTCATTACTGCCCTTCAATTGTAGCCATGGAACTGCAACCATTTTTGGCTGGGGCAACTTTGCTGTCACAGAAATGTTTTCCAGGATCAACGTTTTACTAACTTTATCCAGGAAAAAGGACAAAAAGTACTAATACATCAATGCAAAAATACCCCAACAATAAACTCTGCATTTAAAATTCTACCCAAGACAATGTGTGAGGTGTCTGCAAAATTTCAGAAGTAAAAGCAACTGACATACTGACTGTCTGTAAGATGATTTAACAAACACGGCATTTAACTAGCAACCCCCTTTAAATCTCAGGAGACATGCGATGATTAATATTGCTGGAAATGAGAAAAAACAAACTCCTACCACACAAATTGTGATTTTCTTTGGCTTTCTGTAAATTATTATTCTATCTCTCAATTTAAAGGTTTCAGCTTGTTAAATTTAAAATTAATTCCTGAGAATTTGAGAAGTGAAAATCCTCTTTGGTGGAAGTGCCAGCAGTGACCAGTGACAGCTGTTTTCCCGTGTGGGACTACTTGCCAAAAACAATTGTAATGCATTTTATTAGCTCAATTTATGGCTTGTCAGCTTATGTGAAAGCAGAATTATAAAGCAGCAGGATACAGAGAGCGTAGAGAACAAGGCCTGAAATGTACTTTGCCCAAGTAGAGGTAAAAAAAAGCTTAACATTACTTCTCCACATGATTCTCCTTAAATGAGTGCTTTTGCAGACTGTGAGGTGGAGAGGAAAACAGGTCAATCTGGAAAATGCATCAGTCCTGCTTTGACCCGAAGGAAGGTGACGCTGACATTGCTGTTGTTTTGTTCTTAACTTCATGAATTTCAACAGCATTCCTGAAAGTTTCTCCAGGTGTTGCTATTGCAAAAGACCATTTGGAGAGTTACAGTTTTAAAAACAACACTATCAGCAGAACGTGCTAGATCTGGTGTTATTGCTGTACACACCAAATGACGCATGCTGATGTCTGATAATCTTACAGCGCAGCGGATCAGACTCTACCTCGCACCATTTCTCTGTTTTTGACTCCCCCCTCCTCCCAATGCCTGTAGCCAAACTTGTTCTGTTTAAAAACCATAGACAGTCTTACTCAGTACTAACACTAAAAAAAACACATGTTACTGCAATACTATTCCTGCTCTCTGAGGGCAAAAAAAGAAAAAAGCAAGAAATAAATATTGCTGTGGTCCGCATTTCAGGGGCATTGAGGTTAACCTCCTGTCTGCACAGTCCCAGTAAGCCCCCAAGTAAATCTAGGCCACATTCAAATATGAAACAGCTACTGTGGATTTTTAGAGCTTAATGTCTTCGATACTGCGCTGCTGATGTTTTCAAAGTAGCAATACGATTTGAATAAATAATGCCATGCCGCTTTAAAAAACTGAGTAAGATCACACCCTTGAGCATAAACAACTCCTCTTTAGATTTCTCATGGCAAAGACTGTGCTCAATTCTGACTTCACCTGCCTGCCCACTCATGCCACAGTAGTCCTAATTTATTAAGGTAAAAGTCAATTACCTGCAAATGAATGCAGCTGTTTATAACTGGAGAATTAAAAACACCAGAGAAGCAGAACTTAGCTTCATAAACAAGACCCTGCCCCCAGCAGGCGCAGAGCAGCCAAACAGGAAATTCAACACAGATTGAAAACGATAAGTTCCACCATTGTTGCTATCATGTACCAGCATGTTTAAAGCATTTTTTGTGTGAATGTTCTGAAGGAACTTACAATCCACAAAACAGTTTTGCAGCACACGTATGCACCTGTTAGTGTAGACAAATGACACAACACACAAATACATAATAAATGAATAAAAATAATTCAATGTGAGCAAAAGCATCAGACATGCTAAAAATAAAATACATCTTTATTATGGTATTAATTCTTCACTTAAAAAAACAATAATTACAGTAATAATCAGCAATAGATGATGTGCATACAGCATATTTTTGACTCTTACATGAGGAAACGTGAGTAGCAAGGAGAACAAATACATATTCAGTGTGGCGTTTGCCTGAAAGTGACTGAAAAAGGAGGGAAAAAATAGCAGCAGATAAAGGTCCTTCGTAGCACTAAAAATGCAGTTAAACATTAATAATGTCATATGAAGTGAGAAAAAGAGGGTATGACAATATTAAACTGCTCAGTACTAATTTTGATGCAACACATTATCACAGTCTACAGTCTGAATATCATTATCGACGTCATAGTAAGTTGTCTTTGTTCAGAGGGGCTGAACAGCAGAGTGAGTGTGTAACAGCACAGAAACACAGAGAACGTGTGTTTAGGAAAGAAAAACAAGACATGCACTAAAAGCATGTCTTCAAATGCAGTCTGCCCTGATATTTGGCTGGATCATACTTCTGTAGCAAACACACTAGTACAAAAATAGATTTACTTTAATTTTACATTAGCTTTGACTCTCTGTCTACATTGTTAGTGTGGAAAAACCACGCATTTCCCCAAGAAACTCTACAACCAGCTACAGACACTCTGACGTTCATTTCCAGTTGAATGTTCGACCCACCAGCTCAAAGAACTTCTTGTTGGGTTCATGAAAGAACTGGTAGAGTTTTTGCAGGATGGCAGGAGCCACGTGAGGGTGAGCCCTGCCTTTCGAATCATGTAAACACCGCTCTCGCCCGTGGTCTCTCAAACAGTAGAATCCTTTAGTTTTATTGAAGTAAAAATTTGAAGCGTTTATTTGAGGCTCCAGCTTTAAGAACCTCTCCACCTTTTTCATCTCAGGTAAGGGGTCTCTGATTAATTCATCCCCATCCACGATATGAATGCTCTCCAGTGGGAAGTATTGCAGCCAGTTTTGCATGTGGACATAGTAAAGGCTGCGATTGAGAGCCTTGTATCCCAGATTGATCTCACCGTCCTTCACCAGCACAGATTCGATGGGCTGGTAGCGCTTGTGTTTCTGGAGGCGGTTGTAAAAAACCTGGGTGTAGTCCGAGAGCACCCGCTCTGTGGGGTCTCTGAGGATAAGCAGCAGCTTGATGTCAGGGTTCATCTGATGGATGCGTTTAGGGACTTTGCTGGAGGTGAAGTAGGCCGGCGTCTTCTCTACCGTCAGCTGGTCGGGGAAAGCGTAGGGCATCTGGCTGAGATACCAAGGCAAGCCCCTCTGAAAGTGACTTTCCCAATCAAAGAAGTGCACCTCGTTCTGAGCTGCAGCCACCGAGCTGTGCAGGCTGAGCATCTCAATCAGCGCCCGTGTTCCTCCCTTCCTCACGCCAATAATTAGAATATGAGGAAGTTGCTGGAGTGTCCCATTTGGTTGGCTGGTGGTCCCGTTGTCAGCGGGTGATGAGGTTGGAGGTAAAGGTGGCCCCCCGTCGCCGTCGGCCACTGGCCTGGAGGGGATTGGCGGGGACTGCATTGCAAAAAGCAGCAGCCCAAGGAGCAAAGCTGCCATGAGTGAGGTCCTGACCCTGGAGGATTTCAGCCTGGCGAAAGCACTAAAACTGTATCCCACATTGAAAGAGCAGCTGCTTGTGGACAACGGTCTGATTGAAAAGCAAGAAGAAAAAAAACCCCAAAACAGCCTCTTCTCTGCCAGCAGCAGCAACTACAAGGAAAGACAACAGCTGTGAGCAGACCAATAACAGGTGAATCTTTTGGCAGAAAGACAAATATTAAGTTTCACAACTCCAAATCCTAGAAGGAAGTTAAACTAGCAAACGATACTTCCTTTAACATAATCAGTGTCCTTAAACTTTCTGCCGTTTAACGTCCGCAAACACGAATCACCTTCACGTCAAACAGGAACTGTGTCTGCCCCTATAATAAACATGCTGTCATTTATATAACCGTGCTAATGATTTATGTACAGTCAACTGATGGCATCAAAAGACGAAGTGAAACGTCGATGAGCCGAGACTCACCTGGTTTTATTCGCTGCAACTACTGATCAACAATTTATTAATTTAGAAATCAGAACTAAAATAATAAATATGCGCTAAAGAGGTCAAACGCTCTCACGGTAGATGTTGCTTTTAATGCGACAGGAAACAAACAGAAAAGCAGGTGCGGTTTGTTCTGCCAATTAAATTCTGCACCGCCAAAAGACAAAAAAAAAGAAATCATGCAGACAAGCTGGGGTTTTTTCTCGTTATATTTTCCATATGACGGTTGCATTGGGTGCCAATCCAGGAAACGCCGTTTATCTCTTACCTTTTTAACTACAATCGTCCACTCGACAAAGATTTCATGCCTTGCAGCTGGAGGCTCTCCGCTCACAGCACCGCCGCTTCCACACCAGCAATTATGTAGGATCCACCTCTGTATCGTCTGGGAATTTTCCGAGCGCGTATAAACTTGCGCTGCGCGGGGCACAACTTCACCGGAGCGCCTCCTCTGAGCCTCAGACCGACGCTGTCCTCCCGTTTTTTGAGTGTCAGCTGTTGTGTAGAAGTCTACGCCTACCTCACGCCTGCAGGACCACTCCCCCTACTGACTCAGGTTGTTAAAATGTTATCATATTTGTCAGCTATACCGCCGCTGGTATGTGTGATATGTGACGGAGAACTGAAGCAGGTGATCTATGCATCATGTAGAAGGAACAAAGCAAAAAAGAAAGCGACAATATAATTGCGCCACAGAGCAGAAAATCGCTCCAGTCTTGATGGGTGTTCTAGCTTTGATTTAAGACTATTTATGATTTTTTTTTTAAGCCAAACATTCAATTCAAGCAGACTGAGATGCTCTTCTCAGTGAATTTGTTGCCCATAGAGAGGCTGAGCCTTCTCAGGATTGGGATTGAAAAAGACTATTCAGCTGAGCCTCCAGGAGTTCCCTCTTCACTGTTGCTTTCAGGGGAAATCAATGAAAGAGACAGGCCAGTTATTCATCCCTGGCATTCTTCTCCTCCTTTGCCCACAATGCAGCTGCATCTGTGGGTAGTCACTGAGTCCAAGTTGCACAATCTCACCACCTGTTGAGCTGTATTTCTTTTTCTTCTGACATATTTAAATCGTTCTCCCATCACTTTAGCAATGAGTCCAAAGTGTCTTTTCAGCTCCAAGCTTCGTATTTACTCGTGTTTAACTGAGTCATTGGAGGATTTCACAATGTCCCCTGACTCACCTTTGGATGTACAGTCAGTGTGAGAAAGATTGAGTGACTTCAAAGTGGCGATGAATAAGTGGCACGTCACTAACGTCAAATACCTTGATAGGTTGTGTCATATTTGACTTGCAGAGATGAGAAAGCAGTAAAAGACGCAGTGTGATAGGAAAAAACGCTGTTAATACACTTGTGTATATTGTGTAATGCTTGCTTTTTTAAATCAGATATTTGCTTTAACTAGATGGTAACTACAGGTGAAGCTTGATATCAGTTTGTTGATTCTACTTATCGATTCTGGTTTTATCCCTGACTATTTATGAATCCCTTCCTGCTTCCTGCTTCCTGATGCACAGGTTTTCAGCATAAACTCATCCTTCTCTCATCCTTCTTCTTTCTCATCACTGTTTTATGCAATACTACTGTCATCGAGACACGACAGCACTGGTACAAGGAAATGATAAATTCCAATGAGTTGGGTAATTCAGAACTGTTTTTTGCTTGCAATCTTTAATGCTAACTGTTTCCCATGCTGACATTATGCCTCGAAGCATGGAAAGAGATTAAGGGCTTTGCTGCTGAATAGGGATGCTTCTGATTTTACCCATGTTTGGGAAATTTTTCTGCTGTGTAGGTTATTTAAGTGAAAAGGCATCGAGGACATAAAGCAGACTGAAGGTCTACAGCAGCAGAAGCTTTGGTGCCACAACAAAAGCTTGCTTCTGCTTCTTAAACGCACCCTTTCTTTGTAAAAAGAATGCAAACACACGTGCCTCCAGTGTGTAAAGTGTAAGTGCTGATATAGCCAAGAGTTTCCCCACATTGATTTTTAGATGCAGTTTAGTAATCCTCAGATTCTGCCCTTGGCTCTCCTGAGAAAGTGTGAATTCAGCGTTCAGTTGTACAATATAATCCCGCCTTGAGGATCATCAGAGGCTACCAGGCACATTAACATGACAATAGTACGTATTCACAGAGCATAAACACCCTCAGAGCTTCCTCTGTGACTTCCCTCAACCTCAGCTCACACTAATCAAGTATGACAAAAATACATGCTTGACAAAAAGGCAGAAGTTTTGTACAGTTGAGTAAAAGATCACAAGCATTACTTGTAAAATATACTTAAAGGATCAATTTATAAGAAATTAATAAGAAAAGTTTTGCTTTGTTGACCTGAATCAGTTACTTTGTAAAAATGCAAGTGTTCAGTCAAATACCTCAAAATTACTCCAAAGTCCAGGGTCGATTAATTATTTCAGCGGTGTTCTCTATAGTGCATATTAAAGTCTTGAAGCCCAGTAACTATTTGCAAGGAATCTGGGGGTGTGTTGTGAGGGGGTGGGGTGCTGTGGCTCAGGAAACAGAGCGCGCTGCACTTCAATCAAAAGATCCATGGCTCCTCCAGTCCACATATTGAAGTGTCCTTGCTTTGAGTGGTCAGTAAGCCCAGAAAAATGCCATGTAAAAGCACCTCATTCAATACGGTGGAAGAAAACGCAGAGGAATTAAGAGCTGCATGTCACAAACAGCACGCTTTTACTCCTGATGTCATTCTTGCAGTGTTGCTACACGATCAGCACACTTGAAAATATTTTCTTTAGCGCTTGTGCCAACTGTGTGGGGCATAAAAACAGGTTTCATCTGGCTCTCGCGGGCTTAACAGATACCACACTTTTATGGATCATATGCGATGTGCATTCTCTGAATGTTTCATGACTCTGATCAAAACGTATCCGTAAGAAATCAAGTTATTCTTAAGTTACCCACACAAGGAAATGTTAAACACGGCAATGCCACTGCTGCATGTGATGTTCTGCATGATTCTTTTAAAGATCCAGAAAGGAAAGAAGTTTCTATAATTAGCACAGAATTATAACTGAGCTTCACTGAAATTTGTTGCTGGACAACAAGTATTGCAGGAATGCTGTAACGCCTGTAAGAGTTCATGACTTGAAATTTGTTAAATTTAGAAAACTATCACTGATGATCTGTTATAATGGACGCAGATGTAGAGTGTCAGTACTCCTACAGGCTCTGTAAGTGATGAAACATTACACTGTTTATTTTATGTTCACATCATAATATAATACATTATAGCTATGCCCTCAGGCTATAATTGGTAATGCTATTTGAATTGCATTGTCCTTACGATCATTTTGATTCTACAGAGGAAATTAGAATATTTTAAAATGTTCATTTAATTATTTTTCTTATTCAATTTGTGAAGTGGAAATTCATTCAGTGCACAATATCCCACTTCTTTGTAATTCTAAACACCTAAGGAGGCACAATGTCTATTTCCCCACTCAACAGCTATTATTTTTTATCGTCTGATTGCATAGTTTTAATTCTATATGCGTTGAATCAAAACCCACACTTGTGCGAGCGCAAACACACAGCGCAGGTCATCAGCTTGCTCGAAAGCTTCATCTCTTTATTGAAATGCTTTTCTTTGTTCAAGTGGGTTCACCATGTGGATAATTACTGCAATTACTTCTGCTGGCAATATGAGATGATGACGAATGACACAAATCACAATAACCATTTAGTCTGCAAAGCAAAGTCCCAAACCTCTCATTTACCTGCAGATTTTTCTGATTTTTAAAAACAAAAATGGCGAATAATTAAGTGACTGATCTCTTCAGTCTTTTCATGCCTATGTACAATTTTACACCAATGTTATGTTATCTGTGGTTGAAAACAGTTCTCACATGAAGGCCGAGGTAGGTTGGTCGAACAAGAGAGGATCCTTCCGATATTTGAGTGAAAATGCACTTCAAACACTTACCTCTGAAAAACATGGCATCTTCAAGGCGATTTCACTCTCTGGGCAACTCAAAGGGACTAACATGCACTTTTATATCCTGCAGGTTAGACTAGTGCAATGCTGTCCCATTTAGACTAAGCAAAAAAATTACAAATCACTTGCGACTGATTCATAACTTTGCCCCTCGTGTGCTCACCAGGACCAGAAGTAGGGAACACGTTACACTGAGTTGCACCAGCCTACGTGTCTGACACTCTTCCAGCCTTTGAACGAAGATTGTCTCTTGGGTCCTTTGACGGGACTCTTTTAGTTTTTTCAAATTATGAGGCAAAAATCTTTGGGGAGTTTTTTAAATTTTCAGCTTTAAGGAGCAACTGAAAGTCTCCAAACACAAACTGAAAACCAACCATTTGTATTTTAATTATTTATTTTTACTACACCTGTACTTTAAATTGTTTCATTTTCTCTTATTATGCTTATTTTTATTATGTCTTTTATTTATTTTATCCATTGTATTTAATTAAATAATTATATAAACATATTTGCATTCCTGAATTCTTTTACTTGGTCATATTTCATCTTTTTTCAGCACTTCAGCCATCTCCAAAGCTCTTTGCTTTGCTCGAGCTTCCAGAAGTACTTCTTCTAGTGTCATACTCGATGTACATATAGACTAGCTCTGTAAGTACAGCTAACCTTCCTTTCTTTCTGTCTCTATCCTTGTTGGTATATATAACAAATAAGATCCCCTGTAGCTGCCCAGAACTCAGTTTGTTGCTCAAGGACACTTGATGTTTGTCTTCTAGCAAAGTAGAAAAATCAACATTCAAGGCTGAGAAACTCTGGGAACAGTCTGATATTCATGTTTTATATACACTAAGTGCACAGTTTATCAGTAACACCTTGATAGCACTGTTGCTGATCCCATTTTTGCCTTCAGAATTACCCCATGCATCAGTTTAACAGGGTTCCACAAACATTCCTCATCTGGGTTCACATTGGCACGATAGCATCACACAATTGCTGCCGATTTTTCATCTGCACATCCATGGTGTGAGTCTCCCATTCCACCAAATCCCAAAGGTCCTCTGTTGGACTGAGAACAGTGACTGTGGCCCATTTGAGTACAGTAAACTCATCATCATGTTCAGCAGTTCAATTCAATAAAATTTTACTTCTAAAGCGCCAAATCACAACAACAGTCACCTCACATTGCTTTATATTGTGATGTAAAGACCCTAGAATAAGACAGAGAAACCAACCAACCAACCATGGTGTGATGTTTACACTGTTTTCATAAAGGGAAGGACATGCTCAGCAACAATACTCAGGTAGGCTGTGACGTTTAAATGGTGCTCAGTTGGTACTAAGGAGGCCAAAATGTGCCAAAAGATATATCCCCTATAGCAGCGGTCTCCAACCTTTTTTTTTATGCCCGGTGTATCCCCGACAATAGTTTCACGGACCGGCCTTTAAGGTGTCGCGGATAAATACAACAAAAGAAAACTAGTACCGGTACCGAAAAAGAGAAGATTTATTCATAACACACGCGAAAAGACCCAGGAAAACCGAGTAAACGATAAAAACGATAACAAAATAACGCTGAAAACCAATAAAAACCCTGAAAACCAGATATTTCACACCTGAGCCTCAACTCTTGCGGCCCGGTACCAAACGACTCACGGACCGGTACCGGTCCGAGGCCCGGGGGTTGGGGATCGCTTCCCTATAGCACCACCAGCTAAGAATCCAGGATGGATCAATGCTTTCATGCTGCGTATGCAAAATTCTGACTCTACCATTCAAACGTCATAGTTGAAATCAAGATATTTTTCCTGTT